GTTTTGCTCTGACCAACCAATCAGAGGACGGAAAAATGCTGACATCATTGTGGGCCAGCTAGCTGGTCCTGTGAGGCTGATTTGAAATCTGATTGGTTAAAGAAACAGTCCCATTGCTAATATAGTTTAAGTTACATGGGCCAGCACTTCTGATTCTGAAGGCCCTGGGCAGATTAGACTGACATGGCAACACATAGAGGCTGAAATCTGATTGGACAAAAAATCTAACATCCACATATGGAAGCGGTGCAGCCAAGACAAATACTATGAAATGAAGAGAACAGACTGTTGGGAATAAATTAATACAATTTCATGGAACAAATATTAGAATTTCGGTTGTAAATGTAGGTCAGTGCGTCTAATAGTGTTTAGGCCAGCAGAGAAATCCTTGCTGGATCTGACGGTCCGCCACTGTGAGGAGGTGATGGGCAAGTTTGGTGTCAAGCGAAGGAACCTAGAAGGACAGATGGTGGTGGACTTTGCTAAGAGGATGGAAATGGCTGTAGTTAACACCTATTTCCAGAAGAGGGAGGAAGAGTTACATATAAGAGTGGAGGTGGGAGTACGCAGGTAGACTACATTCTATGTAGACGAGGCAATCTGAGAGAGATTAGTGACTGCAAAGCGGTGGTAGGAGAAAGTGTAGCCAGACAGCATTGGATGGTGGTGTGTAGGATGACTCTGGTGGTCAGGAAAAAGAGGAGAGGAAAGACAGAAAAGAAGACCAAGTGGTGGAAGTTGCAAAAGAAAGAATGTCGTGAGGAATTCAGACAGAAGTTGAGACAGGCAGACAGGAAGAGGTGAATATTGTAGAGCAGGAAGTAGCAAAGATTAGAAAGGATGAGGTGAGGAAGGGTCTGAGGAGAATGAAGATTGGAAAGGCTGTTGGTCCAGATGACATACCTGTAGAGGTGTGGAAGTGTCTAGGAGAGACAGCAGTGGAGTTTCTATCTAGTTTGTTCAACAGGATTTTAGAGAGTGAGAAGATGCCTGAGGAATGGAGGAGAAGTGTACTAGTGCCGATCTTTAAGAACAAGGGTGATGTGCAGAGTTGTAGCAACTACAGAGGTATAAAGTTGATGAGCCACACAATGAAGCTATGG